CACACATATATATATATATATATATATATATATATATATGTTTATGTATAGTTAGGATTTAACAGACTTAGGACTATTGCTCTTACTTTGACTCTTGTTCCTTGTTTGGTTGTGGGCTTAGGGTAGGATCACCTGTTTGACTGTCAGTTAAACTTTAAGTTTACATGCCAAGAATATATATTAGTATTAAACTTATTTTAGTAACATGGTCAATCAGTTCAGTACAAACAAAACATTTGGAAACTATAATAGGTATAATTTTGAGATCCATTCACACTATTATCTAGTTCAATAATACAATACATCAATCAATACATAACTACAAACTACTTTTCATTACGAGAATAATATTCATTTACAAGAACAAGAAGACATATACATACTATACGCAAGGTTGTAGAAATCGCTCGATGTAGGCTAATCGGTGGACTGAGGTCAAGGGATTAATCGGCTAGGCGGGGATTAATTGGGGATCATTAATTATTAAAAGAAGTATTAAAAAATTAATAGATATAACATTAGTCATAATAATATAAGTAAACACAAATTATAACACTCAAACATGAACTTCTTATTTCCAGTATACAAACAACGGCTTATTTCCAATATACAACCAAATAGAATCAACCCCAAACACAAATTATAAGTGATTACAAATTTACAAATTCACAAATTCACAACCAATATATAACAATAAGAAGGAGAAGAAGGAGCCTAAGCTATTAAACTACAATCTGTTATTGTTACGTGTTTCGTGGTTTGATGGGGCAGGGGCGACTGGTCACGATGATTAAGAACGAGAACAACCAAAATTGTGATGGCAATTGATTGCTTCTCAGTGTTTCGACAAACAACAAAGTAATAATCAATTCGTCTGATTCAATCGCTAACGAGAGGGAGAGAGAGTCAATCAGGTGAAATCGATGAATTCCAATGAAGCGATTAGCCGATGATACATGAAGTGATGGGTGAGGCTCCGTTAATTTCGAGCAACTCTCAATCCCGACTATTTTGAGTTTGAGCAGCTCTCAATTTTGATGCTTGTTCTTCAGCCCTGTGTTTGATCCCAGATTAAAGAAAAAAACAATCCAATATCTTAATAAAAGCATATGAAATCGTTGGAGTAGGCTTTTCCGATCAAACCGAGAATCCCAAACATCCTCTGAACATGCGAATAAGAAAATAGAAGAAGAAGAGATAATGAATTGTTGATTTTGAGTTTGAGCAACTCTCGACTTTATTAACTATGTTTTTTCAATTGAGTATCCCACATGGTTGGTGGGATAAAAAACCAAGGGAAAACATTCCTATAAAAAAGGTAGAAGGTCTCACTGAAATTCAGTTCCAACCATGCTTTGGGGGCAGCGGTCTCTTTTGAGCCTAATTTTGGGTCCGATTTTGGGTCTGATTTAGTCCGATTTGGACCGAATAGGACCGGTTTGACCAGTTTTGACCGATATTGACCAAGACCGATTTTTTTACCCTCTAACCCTTATTTGTAGGCGGTTGTAGGCCACCAAGTGCCTAGGCGCCGATTGATCGGCCACCTAGACCGATTTTTACAACCATGACTATACGTAAACGAGTTTAATACTAGAATGTGAGATACTGCTTCATGGTACTTAGTAAGATTCTTGCTAAGTCATGTTTTATAACTAGTCCTGGAGGGAGAGCGTGAATTTGTGTATAGATCTATACGGGACTGATAATCTTGCAGCTTGGATGTTAGCTACAGTTGGGACCGACAGGTCTACAGGTGACAAATGTCATAACTTTTCGACGCCCGAAGAATGTCGTGTAGAATATTAGTCAATTTAGCATGGTTATAATCTCATTCACATTAAGAATTAACTAAACAATTCGGTTTACAAAACAAACATTACTTCATTGGTTTTATTTTAAGTAATAAGACTACCTATCATTATTTTCCAAGTACTAATACATTATGGAGTTCATACAAGTGTAGTACACTATTTTTCTATCGAAAAAAACATACATTTATTGGAAAACACACACTCACACTATTTCAGAGTACAATAACATACAAACATTTTGCTCTTAAGGCCTATGACTGCTTTTCATTTAATAGAGAAAATATGAGATTTTATGTGGAACATACTATCATTTTCATGGAACAAATACAAACATCAAATACTAAATGCTTATGAACTCACCAACTTAAATGTTGATACTCTCTTTTCAAAATAAATTGTATTCTCAGGAAACCAGTAGACAGGTACACTTGCACATGTTTTTGAGAAGATGGAGCCTACTCAAGACTCAACTTTTATTTTGCTATACATTTTTGGTGTCTTATAAACAATACCCAGAACACACATGTATTAACTATATTTTAAATACGATGGATGTTGTTGTTTGTTTTACTATTATGCAATTGTTATGATATTGTACATGACGTCCTCTGCCCCCGAACGTTTCCGCCATTCCAGTTTGGGGGTGTGACAGTAGTGACCAGTGACCACCATGCCATTGTCACTTCTTCACCATGTCGTGGTCACCAGCCAAACGCGGTTCTCATTTAGGTGACATGGTCACACCATGGCCAGTAACCTACCACGCCGTGGCATAAGGTTTTTCCCCAAAAACTTATCTTTAAAATCCTTATGTCTTCAATTGATCGAATCGGTAAAACGAGTGTTGTATTTTCGGATTGCTAAAACCGATGTTACATTCTAACACAATGTTTCAAAATGATTCTCAAGAAGGAGATGCTTTTTAAGGCTATAAGGAATGCATCACAATGCATTACGCGTGAAGGTGTGCAACATCATACAAAATCATTCCACCTCACAAAAAATATCAGCACTAGTAGTGAGAAATGGTGTTTACATAGTAAAGGAGAGAGAGAGACAGAGAGAGAGAGAGAATAGTCTTTCTCTCTCTTTCTTGTGAGTCTCCATATCCACACTTATTAGAAGTCACAACAACGCAATGTAAGGTTGGTGTTCCAACCCATCTCACACGTCTGCCAAGTCACTTCACGCGTCGTTTTGAAGACCATTCCGTTTAGCCTAATAGAGTTCACCACACACACATGCGAGATAAAAGAAACCTAAAATTGACTTTTTATGTCTTTATATCTTATTACAAAAAAGTATTTTTCATGAATCATGTGTTATTTATATTATCTGAAAATCTTTTTATTTGATAATCTAAGTTTAAGGGGGTGTTTGGATTGCTTTTCAAGATCAGAAGTCCTTTTTGTAGAAGGACTTCTAATAAAAGAACTTTTTGTGAAATGAGCTCGATAAAAAGTGTTTGGATTAACAAAATGACTTTTGTGTTAACTTTTACATGTAAATCACAAAAAGTCACAAAAAGTCAGGTTTTTGTGACTTTTTGAAAGCTCTTATTTTACTCTATGCAAAAGCCATTTTCAAAAGGACTTTTCTATTATCCAAACACATTTTGTTTATTTTTTTGACTTTTTAGAAAGGCACAATTTCGTATATGCCCTTGCTAAACAATTAAATATCATATTTGTCTAGCGTAAGCTCTACTTATTGTATTTGCCATTCTTAATGTTTTATAATATCATATATACCAAAATCTATTTTTTTATTAATTTTTATTGATTTATAATCCTTTTTTATAAACTTAAATCATTAAAACTAAAAACAACAAACAAATGGACAATATTACCCTTTATTTTCCTAAGATGAGGTTTAATTCATTTAATTCCTCACAATCAATTCTAAATTGCAATACAAGGCATTATGATCACAGATTCGCAGGGCTTCCATATCGCATCCAAAGTTCTTCCCTATCACACGCTCTTAATAAATTGGAGCAACCTCCTATTCCCCCTTGTTGTCGTACACAAGAAATACACATCAGGCAATCAGTCAATGATTCACCAGGTAGGTCTCCTCTTTTTAATTGGTCAATGATTCACCGTCTCCTCTTTTTTGCAAGATTGACAGCAAGCTCGAGGATGTTTAACTGCACTAACACATCAAATTAGGATTTTGATAGTAGTAAAATAGTAAAATCGGTCAATGATGAAACGACTTTAAGAACTTACTTATGCTCCAAGTGCTCGACTCTCAGGCCCACCATTGGCTGAAATCTAAAACAACAAAATAGAAGAAGATAAGACACTAACAGAACTCCATAGGCTTCAAAACGCACATGCTAACTTACCTCCTGATCTTGGGGAAGCTGTTTTTCCATCAAAATTTGGTAGGATGATAGGGAGTCGAAGATTACAATCGCAGCCAGTTGGGATCAAGAAATAATGAAAAAGAACAGGGGATAACAATTGATCACTTCCATAGACTAAATCCCCAAAACGTATCAACCTAAAACATGAAGAGTTTAATGGGAATTATCAGGCTTGGGACATTAAACACATTGGATGAACAATCACATAACATAGATGAACAAGATGACGAATCAATGACACAAATCAGTGAAATCCAACATAACTAAGCTCTCAAATACAACATGACTAAGCTGATTGTAAAAAGATTTTGAACAATTGAGACTAGGAACCCTAAAAACGGAATTCACATTCCAGATGATTGAAAATAATAGGGTCGCATTTTGTTCCTGATGCATGAGTCTGATGCGATAACAGGGGAAGCAAGTTGTGATCGGAAGTAAAAACAGGGAAGCAACGATCAGAATTTAGGTTAGATAGGAAGCCACGATTTTAAGTATCTGTGGTATTGGAATTTACAAATAAGGGCATTATTATCCATTTCATATTTATTTTTAATTATAATAATTTAAGGTTATAAAAAAGGATTAAAAATCAATAAAAATTAACAAAAAATTAAATTTGGGTATATATGATATTATTAAATATTAAAAAGGACAAATATCATATTTATATTTTAGATCGAAAAACTACGATATTTAATTATTTAGTAAGAAGGTATACCAAATTTTACTTTTAGAAAAGATAGAAGCAAAAAAGTAACCCAACCTAAGGCATTTAAATGAATGCATCGTTCAAACCAATATAAAACACATCCCGCGCCTGGATTTTTTGAATTTGGACACCGGTCCCAAATGTCGTCTTCCAAAATGCGTCTTATTCGCACTTCATTTATAGCCCTAACAGAAAAATCACCTCAAATGCATCACCGGAGATTTGAAATTCAATAACAATCTCCTCTCAGGCAACTCAACTCCCTGGGCGGAAATCTGTCCACAAATGTCGTCTTCCAACTCATCTTCTCGTTACACTTCATTCAATAATCGATCTTCCGCTCAATCGGATCCATCCTCCTCCACCGAGCTCAATCAAACAAAAAACCGCCGGCAGATCCCGGATGTCTCCTATGCTCTCGCCAAGTCAAAATCCACTAAAAACGAGCAGAATTTTAGTGCTATGGTTAAGAAGTTTATGGAGAGGAAGTCTTCTTCGACTTCGTCTTCATCCAAGCTGAAAGGTAGGGAGTTTGTGGTGGCTGCTGATGTCACGAGCATCATCGCCGATGATTTGAAGAAGAACATGATGATGACTGCGAGAAGAGGAGGGACATCGGGTTTTGGGGGATTGCATAAGAAGCTGTTTGGTAGCAAGGTGAAAGGAGAAGAGAGTGGGAAGAAAAAGAACGCATTGACGGAAGTGAAGGTGAATACCAGGAGTTTAGCGATGGTGTTGAGGAGTGAGAGGGAGCTTCTGAGTCGGAGTAAGGATCAGGAATCAGAGATAATGGAGCTTAAGTTGATGCTGGAGGAGAAAAACAGAGAGGTATGTTATTCACTCACACTTTATGATTTCAGTAACATTACAGTTACAATCTTGAAGCGAAAACTGTTATCGTATGCTGTGCAGGTAGATAAGTTGAAGGATTTATGTCTAGAGCAAAGGGAAGAGATAAAAGCACTGAAGAGCGTGATTTTATTTCCAGATGTTACAAATTCACAATCACAGCAGGAGGATGATTCTGAACTAAAAGAGGCAAAAGAAATAATTCCTACCCTTCAAAAGCAGGTCACTTCTCTCACAGGACAACTTCAGTCCCTTGCTCATGATCTAGCTGAGGTACTTATCTGATCTAAGTGTTTGGTTGCATAATGTTTTTGAAAGGGAAGAAATCTGTTAAGGAATTGAAATTTAAGGGAATTGGAATTCCAATGTTTTAGAAAAGAATGATAGAATTCTATCAAAAGAAATGAAATATGATAGAATTGGAATGTGAATGAAATCTATCAAAAGAATGGAGACGAGGGGATTAGAAATCAAATGCTTTGGAAAGAAAGTCTGTCAAAAGAATTGAAATATGAGGAATTGGAATTTTTATGTTTTTGGGAGGGGAATGAAATATGAGACAATTTGTATTTAATAATTAAATTTTCTTTTATTCATGACAGGTGAAAGCAGACAAATATTCAGCCACAAGATTCAGTGATAGTCTTATGAGTTCTCCAAAGACACCAACATATGAGCAAGAAGAAGCCTTTAACTCTTTGGTAAGTATCATATGATATTGCTTCATATATAATTGATAAAATGCTATAACTTATAATTTTTTTCAAAGTAAAATGCTATATTTATGAAGAAATGAATGTTGGATGCTATAATAAAAAAGTAAACAAAAGTACATTGCTATTTTTTACATTTAGCCCTAACATCATATGGTGTACTTGCGCTTATAGGAATTCAGCTCGGGGGATCATACGACCCATGGTAGTGCGGATGACATGTTCCTAGAGGATTTAAACCCATGTTTAACACCTTATATCAAATCCAATTCTAAAGTAAGAAGATTAAACAACAATAATTTTCAAATATAGTGATATTTTGGTTTCCCTCTTATTTGATTTTTAACATTGAAGATTGCAAATGCAGGCAGTTGATTATATATCTTATAGTGATGACTCATCACACAAGAAAAAAGGTTGGGTGGATCGCCAACATGGCAACTCTGACAACTCAGCGGGAATTTTGGGTCGAGCAACTCGTAGATCAGATGAAAGCAAATGCACTTATCGTGAAAATGTGTGGAACTAAAGTTATGATAATTTTTTAGCACATTGTGTTGTATCTTTTTATGTTTATGCAATAAAACTTGTTATTAAGAGTATTTTTTTATTAAAAAAAGAAGTTAAAATCATCACTGGGGATGGGATTTTTTTTACCAAAGCGTGATCAAGGAATTTTTTTTTTATTACTTTAAAATGTTTTTATAACCATTTTACTCTTTTTTTTTTTACCTTGAATATGTTGAGGTGGACAAAGGTTGCAAATGTCACATCAGATTGGATTGGATCGAAAAGCATGATTTCATACATTTTTGTATATTATGTATTGTATTATACTTTTATTTTTTTTTCTTATTAATGCAATCTCTTTTGAAAATTCTACCTAAATGTAATTTCATTTTTTTTTTAATTGTAGAAGCGAAAATTGTTTTGTATTTGAATGATAATTGAGTAAATTTTGTAATTTTCAATATACATTGTTATAATAGAAAGAAATAGAAATAGGATGCAATGATGTTTATAATAAATAAATCAATAAAAATATATTTTTATTTCTTGCATTTAACCTTAATTTTTATACAAACAAGGACGATGATGGCTTTCAAATCTTTTTCATTGACGATACATCAAGAGTGAGTCAATATCACCCTGTTGTGTTGGACAAAAAATTGTGACTTTTGTATAATTGATATTGGTTATGATGTTAGTTTAATGAATACCAAATATAGTTTAATGCATTTTACTCAAGATATGCCTACACACAATACAACTATTATGTCATGTGTTGCCTTGATCCAAGCAAAACAAATGTTAAAATAATTTGAAAATATAAACTTTAGAGAAGATCAAATTAGTGTGTATGATTTCATCAAAGGTAATAGGGACAGTTATTAATATAATCAAATTAAAGAAGTGATTAACAATTTTTAACCAAAAATTAGGATTTGTCCCAAACTAGCCTACGAAACCGCAGGTGTTTAAAATGGTCTACTGTTTCGCCCATTTACCTACTATTTAGATTTTAGTATATAAAGAAATTTTTTTGTTTCATTTTTCACTATGAAATCGTAGACGAAAAAATGGTCTACTGTTTCCTCTGAGAAGTCTACTGTTTCCCAAAGATTTAAAATGATCTACTGTTTCGTCCAAAACCTACGTGTTTTTTTTTTTTTTTTTTTTTTAATTAAATGGAAAAAACACTAACTTTTACCGTAAAAGTGATTTTTCTTTTAATATATAGTAGGTACAATATAGTAGTAAAAAAGTTAGTGTTTTTTTTTTTCATTAACAAAAAAACCCAAAGCCGTAGTTTTTTAGAAGAAACAGTAGATTATTTTTAATTTACTATTTGGGAAACAGTAGACTTTTCAGAGAAAACAGTAGATCATTTTTTCATCTACGGTTTCGTAGTGAAAAATGAAAAAAAAAATCTTTATATACTAAAATTAAAATAGTAGGTAAATGGGCGAAACAGTAGACCAATTTAACCGCGTACGATTTCGTGGGCTAGTTTGGGATAAATCCTAATGTTTAGCTAAAAAGTAATAAGTCATTAATGAATTTGGTTAGATTAGTAATTTTCCCAAAGTAAGAAGGTTAATTTCAAAAATGTTATTTCTTTTCAACGCAACATGAAACAATTAAAATATATGAAAATAACGGTTATTATGGCAAGATGCTTAGATGCATTGCAATTTTTATTAGAAGTTTACGATAATTGGTTTTAAATTTAATTGAGCATTTGACCCATAAAGCTTTTCATCATGTCAATGCCAGCCTGACAATCTGAAATATAACTGCAAGAAAAAACATAATTTAATTAACAATAAAAATACTTATAGATTTAAATGTAAATTAAATTTGTTCTTTGACTTGTGAAATTCCACAAATTATTATTACGAAAATATTTGATGATAGAAAACATATTAAGAGACATAAAGTTGGTCAACTTTTATATCAAAAGACGATGTTGTGTTATTGAATAAATATCTATCTAAATGAATGTTGCAAAAATAATGTTATTTCATAATAATAATAATATGGGAATATGATTTGTTAAGGTAATTAACTTTTCGGGTTTTTCACATATATGTAACTATCTTTTTTTTTTTTTGTACACATCTAGGTAACAAACTTTTTGGAACTGTTCACATATGACCATTATGACCTGCTGTAGCAGGTTACATCCAGCTACATCATGTCATAATGGTTATATGTGAACAGTTTCATCAAGTTCGTTACCTATATGTGTACAAAAAAAAAATAGTTACCTAAATACGAACAAAACCAAGGTAAGAGTAAATTACATGAATGGTCCCTATGGTATAGGGGAATTTGTGCATTTGGTCCCTAACTTATTCTTTTTAACTCGAATGGTCTTTACTGTTTATTTTTGTTACGCGCTTAGTCCCTGTCTTACCTAAAAAGACTATTATGCCCTTATTAATTAATTTTTTTAATTAATTTTCTTATTTATGTTTTTTTATATGTTTAAAAAAATTAATAGACCCCACATATCTGTATCTCCTCACCGTAAATCTGAAACCACATATGAGAAATTTAATTTGGGTCCCACCGGTCACCATCTCATCTCACATCCTCTTAAACCTCTATTTTCTTTCAATCTTTAGTGACATGGAAGTCTTCACCATCCTTTTTTTGGTCTTTCAACTCTGGCGAACAAACACCATAACCCACAGTCTCTTCACACTATTGGGTTGTGGTGTTGGTTCGCTGAAGTTGAAGGACCGAAAAAGAATAGATGGTGAAGACTTCATTGTCATTAAATATGGAAAAGAAATAAAAGTTTAGGATGATGAAAGATAGGATGGTGAGGAGATACAGATATGTGAGGTCTATTAGTTTTTTTAAACATATAAAAAAAATACATAAATAAGGAAATTAATTTTACAAAAATTAAATTAATAAGGACACACTAATCTTTTTAGATAAGACATGGACCAAAAGCAACAAAACAAAACAGTAGGACCATCCGAATTAAAAAAATAAGTTAGTGACCAAACACATAAATTCCCCCAAACCACAGGGACCATTCGTGTAATTTACTCTTACTTTTGGTTTTGTTCATATTTGGGTAACTATTTTTCTTGTGTACACATCTAGGTAACGAACTTGTTGAAAGTGTTCACATGTAACCATTATGACTTACTGTAGCTGGAGGTAACCTGCCACAGCAGGTCATAATTGTCATATGTGAACAGTTTCAAAAAGTTTGTTACCTAGATGTGTACAAAAAAAAGATAGTTACATACATGTGAACAAACCGAAAAGTTAATTACCTTAATTAGTCTTATTCCCATAAACTTTTTAATTTATTAAAATAGGGAGATGTTCAAAAAATTAAAAAAATTTCACACGATATATTTTCTTTAATGAATATCGATTTTTATAAAATTATTAATATTTTTTTTCATAAAATTAAAAACTAAATAATTTGACAATGACTTTCTAAAGTTTTTTGTAGTGTGGAAAGTTAATTTAAAACGATAGTTTATTTTACAGAAAAAATGGTCATTTGACACATCTCATTTCGTAAAATTAAAAACTAACACCGTCTTTAACTATTATAAATTATTGCATATTTGGTTAAAAAAACTTAATTCTCACATAAAATTTTAAATTTCTTGTTAATGGGTTTCACTATTCCTTAAATTTCTTGTTAATGGGTTTCACTATTCTCTCGGAAACTTAAAAATTGAATTCTCACATGATTTAAAATTTTAGATATCATGTTAAGGAACTCAATTTAATCTCATCTTCGTTTTATTTATACCGAAAATTTCTCACTATGTATATTGAAATAAATAAATAAAATATAATTACAATTCGTTGCAATAAACAAAAGATTATTGAATATAAATAAATAATTAAATTTTAATGATCAACTTTTATTTCATTTCCTCTAATCAGCTACATAATAATTTTTGGAATTTCCTTCATATTCCATTTTTTAAAAGATTTTACATTTTTTAAAATAAACATTCTATTTGTTGACAAATATTATGCATTTATGGTATTTCAACCTTATAGTTATACCTTTAATGACAAAATAAATGCTTGAATTAATTTTTTAGTTTGGGTTTATGTAAAAAAGAAGAAAATGGAGGAGGACTTACAGGATCCAACCACCACTACAACGAAGAAAGCAAGCACATAAAGCTCTGTCTTCATCTTCTTTGAAGCCATCAGACCTAATCCCCTTTTTGTTATATTTTTCTCAAACTTTGCAACTTTCTTTTCTATAACTCTTTTTGATGTCGTCTATACATTATAAAAACATAAAACAAATATACATATTTGAATAGATATTCATAAAATAAGAAGAAGAATGAATTTCTAATGTATTACTGACATCTCGAAGATATTTCACTTAAATTTTGAGCGATTTAGTTCTAATTTTGCCTAAAAGTAGGGCATAAATTGGTGGCAAGATACGATTTACATACCAAAAACGATTGGTAGTTTGCAATTTTGAATAAAAGTGAGTTGACAGCTAACGAATAATTTACATATGACACATACAGATAGATGATCGAAAGTGATAAAATAAAAGAGAAAATTGTACACTTTCATTAGCATTTTTAGTCGAGTTCATAACAAATCAAGAAGAAAATAGAAGAACATTAGTAAACTTATTAGAAAACAGATCGTTCGATTAATCAAATCGATCGATCGTGAGAAAGAAGTGATTTGCCATTGTTACAGTGTTGACGAAGAAAGAAGAACAATGATAAATTGTAAGAAAATGATGATGAAAGTGAAAATATAGTTACACACATAGTTTGATTACTATATTTAATCGATAGAGAGAGGAAGAGGGAGGGAAGTGATTCACCATTGTTGCAAAATTAATGATGAAGAAATGAGCAACGCGAAATAGCAACAGAGGAGTGGGAGAGGGAGATAGTAGAAACCGAGGAGGATTTTGTGGGCCTTCAATGTGTCTAAAACCCTTTTACTATCAATTATTCATAGGGTAAATTATGCGGATGGTCCTTGTGATTGGGGGTAGTCTGCGTGAATGGTTTCTACAAAGAACTTTTAACTCGGACGGTCCTTATAATACAGTTTTATTGCGTGTTTGGTCCCTATCATACATAAAAATACTATT